CTCAACTCAAGGCAAAATTCTTTTTCGAATGGGAGAAAATTGAACTCTTATGTGAGCTCGAAATATTTACCTAAATCGATCATCGAAAAAACGTACAACTCCCTAAACACAGACCACAGAGGTGGACATTGTTAAATAGATTTTATTCCTACCCTGAACCTTATCAGTACTCTCGGTACTTTTTATCTCGTCAGAATTGGCAACAATAGGCTTTGAGAACTGATCTCTACGATCAAGAACGCCCAGGCAATTTATTTTCATTTTATTTAGTAAGGAAAACCGCGAATTTATTACAATTTTTACAAAATTTCGCTGGAACACTGAAACAGAATATAAATTAGATTGACAAGATAAATAATTCATACGACTCACCATTCGTAACCTTTGAGATACCCTTAGTGACCCATTTCAGTCCTCCCAGCCTTCGATTTTGACCCACAATTCACTTGGAAGCTTCTTTCAGACCCATGAAACTTTTGCAATTCCCTCAGTGGACCATTGAATTCCCCTCAGCCTTAAATTTTCATCCCACCAGTGGCCCACAATGATAGATTGAAAGACCCAAAGCCAATGCCCAAGACCCACAAGACTTGGAAAGCTGTGAAAGGGTGACGCGCGAAAAGTGGAGTACGAATCGCGATTTATTTTCATTTTCAGGGATTTTGTTTAGTACCCGAAACCGCGAATTTTTATTATCCTCCATATTTTCCTGTAGTTGATTTTAGTTGGGACATTTAGCAAAAATTCAAAAAAGAAAAGAGAAAAGAAACGCAAAAATGGAAAAAGGGACGAAGCTATTTATCAAACGCGACGCGACGTGATAAATTCTCGTATCGATCGAAAGTAAATGGGAAAATTGACTCTAAATTGAATTAACGCGGTATACTACTTTGATACTCTAATAATGGGAGGGCGTTTGCACCATTAGTGCAGTAGAGTCCATCCAGTTCTTCTTTGACCTCTTGGTAGTTCAGCTTCGACATGCACATGCACACACATTTAACCAACCACCAAACCCTCAAAAAATTCACTCACAATTCGCAGATTAAGCAGCTGGGCTCTGCAACGTAGATTTGGCTGCCTGGCTGCATTGCCTCCTTCCTTCCTTCCTTCCATCCTCTCATATCGTCATCCTTCCGCAAATCATTCCAGTTCCTCGTCGTTGATTTCCCAAGACTCACAGACTCACAAAATGTGAGTCACTGTGGAATGGACGACGCGAAAAGTATTTCGAAACGCGATTTATTTAAGAGGGGAAACCGCGATATTATATTATTCTCGATTTTTAGAATCAAGTTAACATTAAATAGAATACACGTAAAAAAAAGAAAAGAGATATGAAATAAACGCGATGTATATAAAGCAAAAGTATAAACCGCGAATTGATATCTTTTCCGAATCTCTAATGCAAGTAAATTTGAAGGAGGGTATCGATTAAACGCGTAAAAATATTCAATATAAAGCGAACTAGGGATGAAGCTATTATAATACTCAATGCAACGACTCTAGTATTTACTAAAATTCAAAAATTCTCGTATATATTCCGAAAACCGATTTTTAATTGCGAAACACTACTGAGACGGTTTAATTTGGGGCAGCCAGCTCATATTTGAGCTGGCAATACACAACACAACTAACTACTAAACCAAATCACCAGAAAAAAACCCACTTTTGTAACTCACCGTTCGCTGATTAAGCAGCTGAGCTCTGCAATGTGGATTTGACTGCATTTTCTCCTTCCTTCCACTCAAATTGTCATCCTTCCTTCCTTCCTCCCAGTTCCGTTCGATTTTGCAAGACTCACAAACTCACAAAATGTGAGTCACTGTGGAATGGACGACGCGAAAAGTACTTCGAAACGCGATTTATTTCAGTTTTATTCAGAAAGGGAGAAACCGCGAATTTATATTATTTTCAATATTATTATTGAACTAAACTTTCGCAGAACGCGAGTGAAAAATTGAAAGAAAGTATCAAATAAACGCGTGTAAATTGAAAGAAAAGCAATAACGCGAATTGGGAGGAAATAGTTAAACGCGGAAAAATATTCAATAATAAGCGAACTAAGGATGAAGCTATTATTTCAATACGCGTTGCACTGACTCTAATATTTATCAAAATTGAAAATTGATTTATCACGGTAAACTACTTCGACGGTTTAATTAGGGGCATAGTGCAACGAGTACAGTGCACTCGTTGCAAATCAGCTCACAATATACAATTCAATAATGTAACTAACTACTTAACATGCAAAATTCATGCAACTCCTGCGAAGAATTAGATTAGTAAATCACAATTCATGAAACAAATTCAAAATTCATTTTTCAATAGCATAGAAAATATCATAAATACTGAAAGAAAATAAAATTATAGATTGCTGGAAGAAAAGTACATATTAAATTTAGAAATAACCTGTAACAAACAAAGTATTTAATTAATGGACAGCTGAAACGCCGAAATATTTTCATTAGGCAACCTCTCAAATTCATTTCGATATCCTATTCGACAAGTACGAAGAACAACAATAACAAACTGAAATCTCGATTTCCCTAAACCCTCAAAACAATCTCGAAATACGTTCGATAATAATTTTCTCGCGTGTATTAACGACCCGAAGGATTATTTAAATTTATTTCAAGCAAAAAGTAGCAGTAGTTCAGTAGTAAATAGTGGACTATTAGACTTTGAATAGTCCAAGTTTAAGTTTTAATAATTAGAAAAATTAGAAAAATTCAAAGCAGAGTATTCAAAGTCTAATAGTAAATTTCAGAAAGAAATTTTGAGAGAAGGTAGTTGAGTGTGTATAGGGTGGACATAGGCTGCTAGCCAGAAGCCCTCGACCACCCTACCCACGTCTCAGTACCCTCAGATCAAAATTACGCGAAGTGTCTAGGGCCCAGTATAAAGGGTAAATGACTTCGCGGGAGCTCGCGGGTCTATTTATACCTGCGGTACCCCTTCCCCAAAATCATTAGCAAAGTCGTTAATAATTCGGGCGGGAATCGACTACTTTGCGCGGGAAACGGACTACTTTGCGCGGGAGATCGATCACTTTTCGCGGGAAATCGATAATTTCTCGCGGGAATCGGTCACTTTTCGCGGGAAATCCTTCGTTTTTCGCGGGAATCAATTATTTTTCGCAGAAAATCGCCGATTCTTTCGTAATTCTATTTTGCATTCTATTGTAAACTTTGCGCGGGAAATCGATAATTTCTCGCGGGAATCGGTCACTTTTCGCGGGAAATCGATAATTTTTCGCGGGAATCAATTATTTTTCGCAGAAAATCGCCGATTCTTTCGTAATTCTATTTCGCATTCTATTGTAATGTTATAATAACGTATAATTTATTAATTCTCACAATTTTTTGGTATAAATTTATACTTCTAACAATTTGTTATAACATTGCATATAACAATTTATACGTTTTTACAATATTCTTCAATGGAAACGTACGTTTTAACGTTCTCGTTACTTACTCGTGCTTAAATTAATTTCGTAAGGATTAAAAATCAGGTTGACCTGTGGTCGTAGATTAAAAATAGCCATAGTACAGCTAAATTTATCGTGTTAAATAATTCTTTTCCTACGAATCAAAAATGTATTCAACGTTTATTAGTTATAATATCGTGAAATGAATTATATTACACATTTTCTCTATTCACACTGAATTTAAAGATTATAACGATTAAAAATCAAGTTGACCTGTGTTCATTTATCAAGAATAATCATAATAAAGCTGAAATTATTGTGTTAAATAATTTTTTTAATACGAATTAGGAATTTATTCAACGTTTGCTTGTTACTACTTGTTACAGTATACTGTCTCGCAATGTAAATTTAAGTAAATTAGGTTGAACTGCACAGAAAATG